CCACCGACCCGAACCGCCGACCCGACCTGCCGAACCGACCTCCCGACCCGAACCACCACGCTACGGCCGCCGGGAGACCCCGAGGGACGCCGCCCGAGATCCCCGACATCCGGACCCCCGAACCGAGCCGCGACGGCCCCGAGGCCACGGCTTAAAAAGTTACTTACCGTAACAACTTTAATAGAAACTATAAATAAATATATAACTATTATGAACTTAACTAAACATATGATTTTTTACATATATCAATGACAACAAAAGATCCATGCAGTCGACCCTAAATAGTTGGGACTTATGACTTTGTTGTTGTTGTATTGACATTAATATGGAACAAAGGAGACTTGAATAGTTTGTGAAGCATTAAGCCATTTATGCACTCTTTTATGAACATACAACATTGAAACTTTAACACTCATAGAAGTATGAAACATATTTAATAACCAGAAAATAGTTTGCAAGTGCAACTAGAAAAGGAGCCAAGGGAATACCTTCAACCAAAGATCAGATGGAGCACCAGGAACTGCAGCTCCTCCAACTGCAGTCGCAGGAATCTTACCATGCACCGGAACAGGGGATGAGCTTGGAGCACCCCAGTAGTCCATCCCTATATTTAAGTTTGTGGTGGGACCAACAATTGCTCCAGGTACAGTTGCTGACATAGGCACCATAGACAAAGGATGACTCAACGTTGTCTGTGATGGCATTTGAGTAACACCATTCTGAGAACCACTTGCGGAATTGCCATTCTGGGAAGCCTCTGTTGTAATGCATATAAATTGAAAGTCAGCAAACGTGATAATAAAATTAAATAAGCAAAAAAATATTTGCATTCACCTACCACCAAAAGACTCATGCCCACCAGTTGTCTTTGGGTGTGAATCCTGTGGAAACCAATGAAGTGAATGGTCTAAGCTGATAAGTCTTAACCAAAAAAAATCTCAAATTCGTTCTTATGTGCAAATGCAAACAATTATTTAATCAAGATCGACAAGTAATGACCCAACTATTTGGGGTTTCAATACATAAATAGTTTCATGTCATTAAGCTCCACATAAAGCAATATCTCTAGTTAAATCAAGAGGATTAAAATATGTTTTTAATGTTTCTAGCAAAAAAATCTTTAGGTCTCTCTTTACTCTCCTTACACAACTATTTCTAATCAACAAACAGTATCTAATCACAATATCTATAGATAGAAAAAACAACTTAACTAAATCCGCATCAACTTTCTGTCAGCATGTCAATTCTTAAAGAATCAGGAAGCCTTAGCACAAACTCATATTGATTTTTATATGTGCTTTCACACGAGAGAAAATACTCTTCTGTAACCACATCAGTCCTCTTCTACTGATATGATTCACTATCTATTATTAAATTAAACTTCAATTTGCATGAGCATCTTTCTTCAACCAAGTGATACAAGTAAAAATGTATCTTTTACTCCTCTAAACCAAGGTCTGCCATACCGAAGCGTACCGTCCACACCGGGCGGTATGTACCGGGCGGCACATACCGGTCCGACAGATTACCGGTACGCGGACCGCCTGGTACCGCTACAGTGCTACAGTACTATACTGCAGCACTGCTACAGTATGAAAAGTATAAAATTGTTCGGTACACCCTGATGTACCTCCCGGTATACTGATACCGTACCATACCGAGCTTGGGTCGAAACGCCGGTATGGTACGGTACGACGAACCTTGCTCTAAACCATGTCTAGCTTCCAAATTTATATAAAGTCAAAACCATCATGAGTTTATGACAAATTAATATCAAGTAAGGTGAATGGATACTTTGATCTACTGTTAGACTATAAATAAATGTCTAATATCCAGTGTTAAAAGTATAAAGACATTGTAACTCTTTAAGTCATAAAAGACAGGAGACCAATGAGGCACAACATAAACATGAATTTGCCCAGTTGTCCATGCAGAGTATCAAACCAAAGTAATAAAGAACACTTGTATGGAAATAACAACAATGATGGAAAAAGTAACCAAAGATATGACAGAGGTCCTGTATCTTCTCCTAGTGTCAGTAGAGGTTATAATTTCCAGATGAACTTATAGGAACTAAAAACTACTACACATCAAAGTAGGAGAAGCACCAGGTAGTAAGTGAAACAATTTAAGACTAACCTACCAAGATAAGGGACAACAAGAAGACAACCATTTGCAAGAAAGGTAAAGAATAGCATGACATTAAATTAAAATTAAAAGAAGAAGAAACATAAAAAAGCATAAGAAATGCTCACATTTTGAGAATTGGCATCACTCCCCTCACTTGAACTCTCACTTCCACTTTCGCCACTACATAACCATGTTATCTTAGAAATAAACAATGTCTTGTGCAAAGGTGTCACCTGAATATAGTAACTAAAGTCATGATAATCAAGCCTAGATTTTGATGTACCTCTGAGAGAACGCTCCATTAACTGGTTGCGCTGATGTTTTACCTGGCTCGCTGTTGTTCTTTCCTGTAATCATATTCAAACTACCTAAACTTCCTTTGGATCTTCTTATGGGACTTCTTTCCTTACCTTCAGATGACTTACCATCCATTTCCACTCCAGGAGCACCTCCCTAGAGATATGATATGTCATAACTAGTTCAATTATTCCAGGTATATAGTGAAAACATAAGATAAAAGGCTGGCTGGCACAGCGGGTAACTCACAGAAGCCTCAACATTGCTGTTTGCAGATGTCATAGCATAAGGGTTAAAAGGGTGTGCCCCCTGTTCAACATTTGCAGAATGTGAAGTATCAAACACAATTCCATTATGGGAAAGAAAAACATTCTTGTAAGATAGATTGCAGCCAGGTATGATTTGAAAGAACATACAGGAGGCATAGATGGATGAGAATATAACCCTCCAGGAGGATACATCACATATGGAGGTGGTGGAGTCCCATATGGTGGCATAAGGTGCTGCAAGCAAAAGGCTGCAAATGAAGGTCCGCTAGCATGTTGAAAAATTTAGATACCATGCAAGATAACTATTTTGTTTTCCTACTGTTACTTCATGAAGATGATAAATACTAACAGTATAAGCAGTGGCAAATTTTGCGAGTAAAGATAAAACGAGGTGGTCCACCTAAACTTTTACTTCAACCCAACAAGTAGCTTTTGCCTGTAGGGAAAGAATGATCCAGTGTATGATTTTCCTTCTTTGATTTCCGCATGGATTCACATAGCAAGGGTTTCAAGTTTGAATAATCAAACCTAGCCATTGTACTGTAGAAAAAAGTCACAAAATGATCTTGAAAAAACAATTAGTAGTTCTTAGTGTATGGTTAACCTGCAGACTAGACACACTACAATGATTCAAGAGGCTTTTATAACCCATATAGCTTTCTGACTTCATGTAATTCACATGATGTTACCACAATAAATGAATTAGATTGACTCCTATAGTACATGTTACTGAAATTGACTAAGAAAACAAGTTTTCTAAGTATGATTATTCATAATTCACTTATTTCTTCTTCTGAAATACCTCAAAAAAAGGATATATTGAGACTCATCCAACATAGAGATAGATAAATATTCAAAAGAATCAAAACAAACCCATAAAGCAAAACAATCCTTGGAATAATTCAATAACAAAAGGCACCTGAGGTCCCCACATGTAAGGATGGGGCTGGGGATTCGATGCCACTGGAGAATGAAAAAATCCATGTGGTGGAATCGGTGAATATGCCTATCGGAATGAAAAATAATGCAACTTGATTAGTTCCCCAAAGCACATAAATAATCAACAAGCAAGAACATTTAAAGTGCAAGAGGAAAGACTTCATTGACAGAAATAAGGTGCACCACCTGAAAGCTTGACCAGTCAGGGTAAACGGTCACAGCAGGGGTGGAGCTAGTGGCAGGAGTTTGCTCCTAAAACAATAACATTAAAGAAAAAAATGATCTTTTCCAGCAGACTACAATCCAAAGAGAGATTTTTAGACCCCAAGGATGACATCTGAGTACCTGAGCTGCAGATGTCTTTGGAGCCTTGGCAGATGGGTCGGCCTCACTGCTGCCCATAATCCAATGACCCCTCCAACCGCTACTCCCAACGAATCAAATTCTTCTAAATCATATGCTAAATCAGGAAGAAACAGAGGAGAGGGGTCATCCAACTCCACATTGTTGATCCAACTTCCAAACCCTAATCTGCAAAAGAAACCAAGAAGCACAAAAGAACGTGGCAATGAAAAAGAGGGTAAACTGCATAAACTGATATCAAAACAGCTCTTTAGCTCACAAGATAACCAACTTTTGTCGGATGAGATTGAACTTTTAACTGTGAAGAGGGAGATAGATACCACAGTTAGAGCAATCTTTCTAGCGAATGAATTGAAGATGGGAAGCAAGATTCAACGGTGAAACAGTGTGAGATTTTCTTGACTGTGGGGCTAAATTGGACGACATCTAAGAAGTGTAAGGAGCACATAGAGCAGGATGACAAGAACATGTGAAGAAAAGGGGAAGTACACAGTGAGATGTAAGAGGAGCAGGAAGTCACAAATCTAAGGGTGGCAGCAGTGAGTCCCTTTTTTCTCTTTTTTTTTTTGGTACATGGGTCTATCTGACCTGTTTAAATCGGTTTCAGGTACCCTTTAATCAGGTTTGGCATAGGTTTTGGTAAGAAAAAATAGTACCCTAGTAGGGTTTGGGTAAGCTGAAATTCATGGGTACCTTACCCATTTCCACTCTATTACTAAATGATAATGGCAGCAGATCAGGTTCTTAACCAAGTCCTCACATCTATTTCCTGCTTAAACCAAGTTTGAGTACCCATTAGGTTGGTTTGGCATGGGTTCAAGTAGGAAAGTGGGTACCTAAATCAGTTTTGGCTCTAAATAATTTGATAACCAGACAGGTTCAAGTTAGGATTCACGTTATGGTGAAATCAATGAGTACCCTACCCATGGCCAATTGCTACACAAAACCACACTGAGTGAAATAAGAGGTGAAGTTATTAGGGTAATGGTTTTGGAAACAACAAGGTGAGTGACTGCGTTGGAAAAATGTCAACAAAAATGTTTGATGAGGTAGTGTATTTTTCCTTCAAAATTAATGCTGCCATCGATGGTACACCATAGTTACCATATCCAAAGAACGCTGATCATATGCAATATAAATTGATTCTGATGAAATACATCCTATTGAGCTGATAATTACTTGTGGGCAGCATAAAAATCACATTTTCTGAGTATTAGGATTTCTGATGTTATAGTTGAGAAAACCTTATGGTAGTGTTTCAGCTCTCCTCATTTAAAAGAGAGTCTAAAGATGAAGACTAGTTTCACTTTATGATTAGAAACAATGAAAATTGAATGTAAAGTTGAAGAATTTTAGGGCTAGAGAATTCATAGAGTAGTTTAGTATTCCTAGATATCAACTTCTATGTCAACTTTAGGATATATGATCACTAAAACAATTTTTTACTTGTATCATCCAAAAAGTTTGGACTGATGGAAAGAAAATGCATGGCAAGGATGACAGGTGATTGAAGAGAGGAGGCAGAAGGATCTCAAATATAAAGCTGGCAGCCTTTTACCCAACACATTTAGGTTTGAACTACTGAGAAGAGGAGAGAAAACTAATAATTAGGTATGAAAAAAAAATTAGAATACAGATCCATCATAAACAAGATAGACACATTAGCAACGATATGGAGAAGGGGTTAAAGAAAAAGGAGTAAAAAGAACAAATAATTTATGTGGTGTATAAAGAATTAGCCAATCGTAACTCCAACTAATATTGTTTCTCACCGGATGATTCTTTTGGAACAGACAGTTCTTTATGCTTCATTCTAATCGCCCTCACAGGCAACCAAATCCAAGTAGCCAAACCAAATTATATTCTGCATTACCTTACAGTTTCATCTCTCAGTTGATGACTGAGTGATAACAACAGAAACCCCATTGATCTCGGAAGCATTTCTACCAGTGTTTCCAGATACATTGCAATAACAGGCAAATATCGAGCAGGACAACCACTAAGCACTAAAAATGTAACTTCTCAGAATTCCTAGTCAAACAACATTTCAAATACAAAACACCCAAAAGACAAAGAGGTGTGGAGAAAAAGCAGAATTTTTACGATTCTTCCGTCTAAAGACTTAGAAAATCCATACCAAATATAACCATAAAGAAAAATAGGTACGGATCGGGATTGAAAAGAACAGAGGAAATAAGCAGAACCACCACTCACCCTAAATATGAAACTTTTCGGAATTCCTACACCAAATTTCAAGCGCAAAGAATATCCAAAAGACAGAGAAAGGTATGTGGCGAAAGAGGAGCGCCTTCACGGTTCCTCCGTCTTCGACCCAAACCTTGAGATCTAAATAGAACATGATGATAACGGCATACTGACGCAGATCGGGGTGTATATATAAGAAGAGGAAGAGGAAGAAGAAGGGACAGAGACGCACCTGAGAGAGAGGGAGAGGGAGGCACTGTGAAGAGCTCGGGCCCGTCTTCTCTGCCCACGCCAACGAGATGTACTTACACCTAGGGCAGTTGCTTCGTAATCCGGGCCCATGGGCCCGGTAGCAGGACCCGGACCAGGTATTGGTTTTTACTTACTTAAATTGAATACAATTAATTATAATATCACGTTTATGTCCATAATCATTTAATTAAAAAAACATAATACATATATATAATATTTGACATTATTAACTTAAATTCGAGTGAATAAATATAGAAATTAGTGGATTCAGAGGGAGACATATGTAATTTTATTTAACTTACATAAATTGAATTAGTATTTCGATTCTTGGCTTCATTATTAATCATATGAAGGATATATAATTTTTTAATCAAAAATAAAAAATAATATTAAGCGATTGATCCCTTTATCAAATATTAATAGTTTAAATTCTTATTGAATAATGTTAGAATTTATTTTTATGAGCTTTTGAATAATATTTATTGAGTCTATTTAATCCAGTTACTTATTAAATCTGTTTAATTCAGTTAGAGTCCTAATGGATCCTAGGTGGAACTCTATAAATAATAATGTAATTCTTTCTTTTAATCAATCAATTAATGAAATATCATTCCCGTATGTGACAAAATCCTAGGAGGCCCCTCGAAACGATCAAAGAGATCGATCCCCTCGAAACGATCAAGGAGGTCGATCTCCTCAAAACGATCATTCCCTTTTCTTCCGCGACAAGATTTTAGGATCTTATCAATTGCTCTGATACCAAATGATAAGACCCAAAGTCTTATCGTAAAAGAAACAAGAGAAGGGAACGAGAATGATTACTTCGAGAGGATCGACCTCCTAGGGTTTTGTCACAAACTGGAATAATATTTCATTGATTGATTGATTAAAAGAAATGATTACATCATTATTTATTTATAGAGTTACACATAGGGTCCATCAGGACTTAGATTTTTAATAATAAATAAATATTAACTCAATAAATATTATTCAAAAGATCCTAACAAATAAATTTGATATACTGATTTACTTTTCAAAGACTCATGGTTTAAAATATCATTTAATACATTTTCATTATGTCAAATTACTCAATGTAATTTATGTTTAAAGAATTATTCATCGTCATATAAAATAATATGAGGGTCTTATTATTTTATATATGAAAGAATAGGCAAAAATAATAACTGATCATATCTGGTTGTAATTATAACTTATTAAAAAGAAACTCGTAATTATAATATAATCCTAGTTTAATTATAACCAGCAGCAAATGAGTGCTGTAGAGAGTGTGACTCAAGGGAATGTGATGGAGCCACCAATCCGGTGATCACCGGAAGGAGTGTGAAGCACAACACCGAGCAGTGAAATGGTGATGGCTATGAGGCCGGACCAGATGAAGACTACGGTTGGCGTCTTCCCTCCCGATCGACTCCACATCAGCCCCTTGGCCAATGGGTAGAGATGTATCAGCACCCAGACGCTGAAGACGAGACCACCCAAGAGCTTGCTCCACTCCGGCGACGAACTGTTTATGGTGCGGCTGACCCCGACCGCGATTGCGATGAGGTTTACCAACATGATGGTGATCGGCGGAATCATCAGCCACGTCCATTTCAGTCCGTGCGGTTCGCTGGACTCGTCGCCATCTGCGGATGTCTTGGTGCCGTTGGACGAGACGTCGACTCCGGTCGTCACCTTCAGCACCCCCTGGAACAGAGCAGCGAGGCAGGCGCTGGTTCCTCCTATCACCCACCACTGCTCGTTGCGCCACCAGTCCACGAGTTGGATCCCCGACCACCTGATCTCGAGAATGGCGAGTATGCAGCGCGTGACGGTGAGGATGAGGATGTAGGCGAGGAAGGTCACGCTGAGGGTCTGCACGATAAACTGCCCCGAGAAGAGGCAGAGAACGGGGAGGAGGCAGTAGACGGTGACGAAGAGGGAAGTGAAGGGGAACGTGGAGAGGTTGAGGTACGCAATCCGCTGCAGGATCTTCATGCCCGGCGTGATGAACAGCGGATTGTTGCGTGAGAAGAAGAACTCCACGAAGCCCGTCGCCCGCCGGAGGATTTGGTTTAGCCGGTCGGTGAGGTTGATGACGGCTGTCCCGCGGAACGCGTCGCCGTTGGTCACACAGTAGACCGACCGCCACCCCCGGTTGTGCATCCGATAGCCGGTGACGATGTCCTCCGTCACGGAGCCATAGATCCACCCGACGCGCCGACCCCACTGCGTCTTGTCCTCGTAGCTGCATGCGATGACGCTCACGGCGTCGGCCACCATGGATTGAGTGACAGGGTCGTGAGGAGTAGTGAGGGCGCCCCAGGGACGGCCGTCCTTCACCGTCGGGTGATCGGCAAGAGGTCGGCGTTGGAACTCAGCCATGGGGATCGAGTCGATGAGAGATGCCGAATTCCCAAACCGCTTCTGATAGGTGGAAAGGATCTTCTCATCCTCCCTCCGGGAATCCTGCCTCTCCTCGTCCGAGTCGACGCCCCCGGGGTTTTTAGGCTTCCGAGGGAAGCAGCAGCGACAGCAACCACCATGGCGCTCTTGAGGCGGTGGAGGGTCGAACCCGTAGAGCGCCATTCGCCGGAAAAGGCAGCCACTGCCCAAGTAAACCGGCCCCTGAATACCATCAAGTGCTCGCATGTTGACCTCAAATACCACGTTGGTGTACCCTGCGTAGCCGTCGGAGGGGTCGCCGCCATCGAAGCGCCGTGGGAACTGGACAAAGCAGACGCGCTCGCCACCTCGATCCATCATGTAGCACATTCCCTCGCGGAACGCGCGCGAGTTGCAGACATAGTTGTCGTAGTCCAGGTTGAGGAAGAAGGGCCCATTCGATACGACTGCAGAGGCGCGGACGAGCGCATTCATGGCCCCGGCCTTCTCGTTGTCTTCGTAGCCCGGGCGCTTCTCACGGGCGACATAAACCAGCATGGGTAGTCTAACGTCGACGCCGCTGAGGTCAAGGCACCTGCTTTCTTCATTCTTCCCCTGCACTGACTCGTTGCTCGGAGACTTCAGCATTACCTGCAACAGAAGGTTAATTCCAATGTCTGCAAACTTGTAGTAGCTTTCCATTAACATACAAAAGAAATCACTGAAATTTGCTGACAGCACTAAATCATTACCTGAACGATAGCAGCATGATTGCTGTAAGTATGATGTGGTGAGGAGTTCATCCAAGTTCCAGGCCAGTGGCTGCCATCAGCCATCCATATCGCTTTCGGAACCTTGGGACGTTCTATTGGTTCATCACCATAAAGCTCGCGATGTCGTCTTAAGGCCCTGCTCTCCTCACGAGCAGTATAAGCATCGGATCGCCAGCGGACCGTGTCGAGCAACGCATTTATGCGGACCTTGAACTCGTCGTACTCTCTCTTCATCCTCCGCCTGTCCTTGACAAAGTCGGGGCGCATTTTGTTCCTGTAAGGATCCTTCTTCAAGCTGAAGTAGCTCTCGGGGCCTCTGGGCTCGATGTTGTGCTTGCGGCAGAAAGGAACCCAGACGGTGGCGAAGCTGGCGACCTCCGCCATTGTTTCGAAAGTCAGAATGGAGCCAGCATCGTCCGAAAGATAGCAGGCGAGATTTTCGACCGGGTAGTCAGCAGCAAGGACGGAGAGGACGGTGTTCGCCATGACCAGCGGAGGTTCCTTGTCAGGGTCGGCGGTCGTAATGAAGACGTCGATGCCTGGGAGATCGGGTCTCCCAAGTGGGTTCTGTGGACTCACAGTTTCGAACTTATCGATCAGGACTGCAAGTTCGGCAGTGCGCTTGACAGGGCTAAGCTTGGGGAGTTGCTCCAAAAGCCAAGAGAAGGTGAACCAAATCTCGCAGATGACAGACATTCCCCACAGCCAAATTGCATCTTCGTTCCTGTTCTTGATTCTCCATGCAAGATACATCCCGAGCACAACAATCCGGAAGAAGATTAGCAGCCTTCAACGACACAAGATTCGAGCAAGTAAGAATCAGTGAGCTTAAGGAAAGGATTGCCGTATTCAGATCATCATGACAGTTTGCAGAGCAAGCTCAGGAAATTAACAGAAACTAGCTGCTTGTGCTTGTTACCTATATGGAGCTAGGATTGCAACAGAGACATTAATTTTGCGAGAGAGAGGCCTGTCCTGCTTGCTTCTAATTAGTCCATTGCCATCGTCTTCGCCGCCATGTTCCTTCAACCAAACTGCACTTCCACGCCCATATTTCGCCAGATCCCGATCACCGTTTGGGCTTCCATTTGCCTTCACATTGGATGCACTTTGCAGGGACGGCATCGACGACTGTGGCAGCACAACTCCCGCATTCGTTATGGTGTTCTCCAGCTCCTGTGACTTATATGTCAGCATACATCTCGGACCGACATAATTGCCCACCTTGAGTTGAAAGAAATCCAAGCGGTAAACCGTCTCCTTTTTTGATTGTACAGTGGAATATATCATCAGTTTAAGCATTAAAAAGAAGGCTTTTCTCAGAAGATATATAGAAAGAAGTTTGAAGAACAGAACAGAAGAAAACATCTCCAAAATCCCAACTTTCTTAAGATAAGGAGTGCAGAGAGGCTCAAAGCATCGACTTCATGGTCAGAGAACACAAACCTCCGTGTATCAACAGGGAAGCGGGCAGCAATGCAGACAATCTTGTTCTTCTCCGTCTTAGAACGTACTACGAGGTGAGAAGATGGAGGGAGAGCTACCATCACAGTATTTAAAGTCAGGGTTTCGGCAGCTTCATGGGAGCTCTCAAACCGTTCGTTAGAATCTGCTAAACCAGAGGCCGCGAAGACGAGACCTTGAGAGAGCCCGAGTTCGTCCTGGTGCTGTCCTTTTCGGGCGGAATAATGTGGCGGAACAAATGGAACCGGCGGAACGCTTTCTCGGGTGACGACGGAGCGAGGAACGAGTCCAAGCACTGTGAGAGGCGGGAAGAAGGGGGCGACAAGCCATCGGATCTGCTGTCTATTTTTCGTTAGCAAATCGTCGTTTAGCTCGACACATCCCTCTGGGTCCCACAGATC